TCACCCATATTGGGTTTATTTTCTCTGCATCTAAAAGATGATGACACTGCTTTCATTTACTGAAAGCTTTTGATTTATATTTTGTTGTTTAAAATAGATCTAATATTTCTTATGAGATTTTTTTTTTTCATTTGAAGGAAATATTTTGTGTGTTGAAAGCACAAATTGCAGTTTTTAATGTTTGCATGTGTTTAGATGAATGAGACATTTCCCCTGTAAAGGGCAGTTGTTTATCACTGCTCACTGTTAGTGATTTGAATTTTACTCTTTGTATTCAAAGTCAAGTTGTTACCTTCTTTAAAGGTGTCTTGCATTGCACCTTGCACTGGATAATAATTTGAAATGTCTGTGACATTCCCAGTTCAAGAGAACTACAGATGTAATAACATGAGTTCTTCATGATTGTGAAAATGTTTTTGCATATTGTTACTAATGTTACTTCTTTGTTACTTTAAGGCACTTGAATGTCCTTCAAAGTCGAGGCAGAAGTTCACTGTCAGATTTGCTCTCATATGAAGAGCTGCAATCATATTGCTTATGACAAATAAATTGTACAATCAAAGTTTTTGTTCTGTGTTCTGTTTTATTTAACTATATACTTAATACATATTTTTAATAGAGTAAAGTATGTCTGAATAGTATAGTCTCATCAAAAACTCTAACCCCCGGTTTCACAGACAAGACTTAAACCTAGTGCCAGACTAAAATGCATGTCTGAGCAGTTTTTTTACTGAAAGAAACTTACACTGATAGTGTTTACATAACTTTATACACTTAAATTTCAGTTAGAGTAAATCAAGGTTTGATCTTGAAAAGAAAATCAGCATGTCGGATGTGGAAGAAGAGGTGTGTTAAATAAAATTTTACTATTATTAACAGTATTTTTAGGGTTACAACATTTCAAGAATTGGGTTGAGAATCAGATGAATTATCAATTTTTTTCAAAACTTATTTTATCTTTTCAAAATAAGATAGATATTAAAATAGCATAGTTCTAACCGGCGAACCTGACTTGATATAAGTTTCTAGCTCTCAGAAAATGTTTGAATTTACAGTAATTACTTGGGAAATAAATTCCTGCATATTTTTTCCATGCAGGTATAGCTCATATAGTTCTCACAGTGGATGAATATTCATGTTAAAATACAGAGGCCACAAAATATAGAACATAGTGTGTGTGTTACACAAAACTTGTTTTTTTTGTGTGATTAATAATAACCCAAAACCCATTACATATCAACCTACACTGATAAGGAGACAGTAGATGACTGTCTCTGATTGAAGCCTGACTGATGGGGTAAAGCTGTACTGAGACTTCATTCCCTGGAGTTTTCCCACACTCTGCCCTTTCAGAGAACTCAACAATAGTGTGTTTCATTAAGAACAATTCAGCACATGGCCATAAGAACTTCAACAGAGACCCATGGGACAGATTCTACTGAATCATTAGCAGTCGTCTTAATTACTGTAAGATGTATTTAGAGTATTTGGAGATTACTCTTTTAAAGTTTAAGGCATTGTTATACATTAAAAAAAAAACAAAGGGAAAAGATTGAACTAGGTAATGTTTTGTTACTCTGAAACTGCCGTTTCAAATTATGGTTATCGTGTGTAAATTTCAGAGTCATGGCAAATGAGAAGTTCTTTTTAATTCCTGTTATTTGCCTCTTAAAAAGCAAAAACCTACACAAGGTGTATATCTTACTGTTTACACTTCTGTTCAATAGATGTCTTATGCTTACCAAGGCTGCAATTATTTGATTAAAAATACAGTAATAACAATAATATTGTGAAATATTGTTAAAATGTTTCTTTTTCAATATATTTTAAAATGTATTCCTGTGATGGAAATTTTAAATTGTCAGTTTCAAGAAACATTTCTTATTATTGTCAATGTTGAAAACCTAATATTAAAAATTAAGTATTAAAAAAACGTAATATTAAAATATTGAACGCTTGATGAGAAACATCATAAATTTTTTCAGGATTCTTGATGAATAGAAAGTTTAAAAGAACAGCATTTACTTGAAACTGAAATCTTTTGTAACATTATTAATGGCCTTACTGTTACTTTTGACCAGTTTAATGTATCTTTACTAAATACGTATTAATTGTTTCCAAAAAAAAAAATACTGAACACAGACATTTGATTGGTAGTGTATACAATACATGTGCTTTTTTATTTTTTATTTTTTTTACTTTTTTTTCTCATGTACCCCAAAAGCCCCATCAGTAAGGCTCAAGTACCAGAATTTTTTTAGGATTATCATTAGTATTAGTAGAGTCACCAGTATTATTAATATTTGTTTATATTTGAAAGGAGCTGGAAAAAAGACCATGAGATAAATCACAGTTAATTAGTTATTTTAATCAGTTTTTTTTGTGTGTTTTTTTTTTTATTACTGGTTTAACAAAACAAAAGCAAAATATTTCCAAGTACCCCCAGGAACCTGCCTAAATACCCCCAGGGGTCCACACACGCCTGCTTTATAGGAATCACTAATTCATTTTGAAAAGGGACATCTGAATTACACTAAAAAGATACTCAACAGAACAGTTATTATAAAACTACTTGCACATCCACCAGAAGTGAAACCTTATGATGAATCAATTGAATAAAACTGAAATATGTTGTGTTGTGTTTTGGCGATGAGAATGTTCCACTATTAATGGCACGTGCTTTGTCAATAAATGACCCCAGTGTCACACAACAAACAAAGCTTTAAATGAGGGCTCTCCACTTTCTCACACACTCTCCATCCTTAACACCCATCCCTCCACCTGCTCCTCAGAGACGTGCTCATTGTTTCCTGAGCAGTAAGCATGTCATTTAGCATGTGGCGGCCAACTGTTCCTTGTGTCATTAGTCCTCTACTAATGTAGGAATTGATTTCCGCCTCTACTGCTTATGCAGGACCTTTAATCTGCTTTCAGAGAAAGTTTGTGTTTCATTGAAACTTTGTGACCAGTAATATTTGATCAGAATGTACAGAATCATTTGCTTTCTAAAATGATTACATTTGTGAAAATTAAGATTCATAAAAACGTTAAAGTCTGATTTAGACTTTGAGCTCTTGTAGCTCTTTCACCCATATTGGGTTTATTCTCTCACTGCTTTCATTTACTGAAAGCTTTTGATGCATATTTCTGTTGTTTGAAATACATATAATGCTTCTCTCATATAAGAAATATTTCTTCATTTGAAGGATATTTGATTGTGTTAAAAGCACAAATTATTGTTTTTAATGTTTGCATGTGTTTACATGATTGAGACGTTTCCCCTGTAAAGGGCAGTTGTGTAGTGTCACTATTAGTGATTTAAAATGTGTCTTTTATAAGCAAAATGTTTTCACCTTCTGTGAAGGTGTCTTCCGTGCATTACTTCATATTGAAGTACAGGATAAAAATAAATTTGATTATATTTTCTGACTATAAACCCTTGCTGTCACTGAATTCCTTGTCCATCAGATTAACACACAGCATAAATCAAAGCACATTTGCACACTTTAAAAGTTATTCAAATCACTATTTAGTTTAAATCTCATGGTTTGGTTCAAGATGCGCATATACTTGAAAATATCCCTATAAATGATGCATTTATCAATTCAGATATAAGCAAAATTATAATGTCTCTATTCAGGTCTAGTTTGCAATTCATTCATGTCATATTTGACTACTGACCTTTTACTACATTAACTGCAGTTATTCAATGAAAAATAATGTATTTTCATCACGTTAAGCACTCAACATCCAGCATAGCTCAGACCTGAATTTCACTGAGCAGAGATAAACATATAATTACATTACAAATACAGTAAGCAAATTTGTCATCTATTAGAGGATAAATAAAGATGCATTTTCTTGAGACGACAGCAGCACAATCCCTCATTCCATTACAGGAAATCTGGTCACTTCAGAGGTAAACAGGAAACAGGGCAAGTCATGCTATCATATTCAAACTTATTAAGAGCATTCTCAGAAAAAAAGGTACAAAAGCTGTCCCTGGTGCGTTACCCTTACAAAAGTTATACCTTTATACCTTATTTGCCCATAAAGGGTGCATATTAGTTCCTTAAATGCACGTAGTACCGAAAGTGTACATATTATTACCTAAATGGTTCCACCCCACTGACAGCTTTTGAGTGTAACTGTGATTTCATTTAACTTATGAAGAGTTTGACAAATGAAGAACTTGCTGAAAGTATTCAGATTATATTTTATGTTTTAATGTAGTAATTATTTTATATGGCAAATGAAGGACCTTGATGTGCAGACTGACTAAACAGCAATTAAAACATATTTATAGTGTGCAAATGTGCTGTGATTTGTTTTGATTGATGAGGAAAACAGTCAAAACATTGCACAGATTATATTCTTGAAATTTATTTTCATGTTGCACTTCAATATAAAGTAATACAAATGCTGAACACACCTTCAATGAAGGTAACAACTTGACTTTGAATACAAAGAATACAATTCAAATCACTAACAGTAACAATATTCAACTGCCCTTTACAGGGGAAATGTCTCATTCATGTAAACGCATGTAAACATGAAAAACAACATGTGCTTTTAACACATAATCAAATATCCTTCAAATTAAGAAATATTTCTTATATAATAAGAGAAGCATTATATGTATTTCAAACAACAGAAATATGCATCAAAAGCTTTCAGTAAATGAAAGCAGTGAGAGAATAAACCCAATATGGGTGAAAGAGCAACAAGTGCTCAAAGTCTAAATCAGACTTTAACGTTTTTATGAATCTTAATTTTCACAAATGTAATCATTTTACATGGCAAATGATTCTGTACATTCTGATCAAATATTACTGGTCACAAAGTTTCAATGAAACACAAACTTTCTCTGAAAGCAGATTAAAGGTCCTGCATAAGCAGTAGAGGCGGAAATCAATTCCTACATTAGAATTACAGTCCATGCCAATCTCAGACTGGCATAATGAATTCTGTCTGATAAATCATACGGGTCCTCGTGGCTCTTACCAGGGTCTCCAGAGCTCCAGAGTTTGCTCTTTGCTGCTGCTCTGTGCGGCTGGTGAATTGAGCTGAGGCGGCACACGTGTGTTGTTCTCTGTGTAGGGCTGCATGTGCAGGAAGTGCTTCAGCAGTCTTCTGTGGGACTCAGTCTGCACTGGACACTGAGACAGGAGGTTGACGGCCTCCTGCACACATCTGGAGCGTCCGTCACGAGCTGCAGTAGAGCTGCAGGCCGAGGGATTCTGGGAGCGCTGCTGGCGTCTCAAGAAATCAAGCGTCATCTCCAGGATTTCAGCTTTCTCCTGTCTGGAGTCGGGCTGTTGCTTTAGGAACTCTTGACCCAGAAGAGACTTGAGCTTCTCAATGCTGCTGTTGATTCGTTCTCTGCGGATCTTCTCCACTATTGGCTTTCTCAGCTGAGGAAACATTAGGAACATGCATTTAGAAACTTTCATCCATCATTTATGCTGTTTATATTTCATAATCTATGATTTATGCAGTCAGATATGAGATGCTGAATATTTACCTTGTTTGAGAGTGGAAGTTGTTCTCTGCTGATGATTGATCCAGAGATTGTAGGTGCCATGGCTGTGTCTTTAGTTCAGTTCTCCGTTAGGATCAGATCAGATCTGTGCTCAGCTCTCTCTCCTCTCCCTCTATTTATACTCCCAAATCTCCATATGAATGTGTGAGTCTGGAGTTTGCTGGAGGTTCTCACAGTCTGCAGCCAATGGGAGCGTTTGGGCGCCACATGGCTGCTGAAGCCCTTATTGCTCCGACACAATGAGCGCATCTCTGGGGAGCAGGTGAAGGGGTGTTTAAGAGGGATGAAGATTGATTCAGCTAGTGGCCTGTGAATGTGGGAAATTTGTGACCTCGTAAATTGATCTGACTGCAAGTCACTTCAGTCTTTAAAGCACAGTTTATTGTGTTCTTCACACAAGGGCCAAAATTGTCCTGTTGTCTCTTGGGAGTTAGACATGAGCCTCAAGGTATATACAGGTATATTTAGCAAATTATTCAAAGGAAAAGGATACCTTTGTGCCACATATATACATTTTTATTTGTATTTTTTTATTGTATTTATCATTCTAGGTAATTATGACATATTTTACATAAAAACAACAAATAAATATAACAATGAATAGAAAAAAATCTAGATATAATTTATAATTAAATGTACAGTTTTTATTATATTTTATTTTTTTTTCAAGCTTTTTCAAGCTTATCCCATGGAAGTAGAGTACAATCTCTGAAGTGTGTACAGGCAGTTTTCCTCTCAGCTTTATGAGGTCTGAGCAGCACACTGCTCTCTTGGCACACTCTCCTTACACATCCTTAAGACACTTCCAGCTGTCTGGCCTGCTGTCTGCTGGCTGACTCTCGGTCACACGCTCCACTCAGTGAGAACCTGGGAGCGCTTGTGTAGCACGGCTTCCCACACTTATTCACTGACACTGATCCCACTGATAAAAGAAGCGTGGCCCATTACACAATGTCAGAGTGACCCTGCCTCCCACTTCCCAGCGCTCACTGTTCTCACAGCACCTCCCAGGCAGCCAGGCTCACCATCTGGAGGCATCATTCAATTACCACCCTTAAACAACAGCGTCCCAGCCCTAGAGTGTACAACATAGGCTATATCAGATAACATCATCTGCTCATTCTAAGTTTTTCTTTCTTTTTTTTTTTTGGACAAAACTGTGTCATAATGCAGCAATTAATCATGATTTCATGCATAAAATGTGAAAATAAACATTTGTAAGTGTGACCAATATTATTATATGCATCAGGTTTGTATCAACTTTTGTGGAATAATTTGCATACTTAATATTTATATAATAAATATGTATATTAAACTATTATAAATAAATACATTTTTAATGTGATTAATTCAATTTAAAAATGTATTGAAAATAATAAATAAATAAATTGACTGATGTTGAATGTCTACACATTAATATCTTTAGCATCACCTTTTATGCTGAGTTTTGCTTGTTTTAGAGCTATGAGCAAAATAATCCACCACTCTATATTTAATAAATATTAATATAAATAAATAAGTATAATAAATTATGTATGAATAAAATAGGAATAAATTGATGTTTAATGTGTATTTAATAAGTAAATAAATAAGTAAATCAATAAATATAGCTAACTTTCATGTTGAGTTTCACTTGCTTTAGAGCTATGAACTAAATCCATCATTGTATATTAAATATTAATGTGCATAATGAATGAACAAATGAATAAATACATTTTTGATGTTAAATGTCTAAACATTTAATCTCTTTGCTATCACCTTTTAGGCTGAGTTTTGCTTTCTTGTAGTATTTCTGAACAGATGTTTAAGTGCACATTCCCACACATTATTGGCTGACAGCATGAATGAGGTCAATGCTAATTCACATGCTCACTGCTGCTCTTTTAGCAATGCCTCAGTCCTTGACTGACAGACCAAATAAAACCCACCTGCTCATTTGGTTTTTAGGGCCTTGGCATTAAATAATTAAACAATCCACCCTTGCACTATTGTCATACTGCAGTTTCCTGATTGGTTAAAAAGTGTGAGAACTTACATCTCATTAAATTCAGCCCGCCTGCATATAAATTCAAGCCAAGGGAAAGAGAAAATTCAATGCATATCACTTCTCAACACAACACACTGAAGAACAACCCAGGCCTTCACCATGAGAGATCTGCAGAAAACGTAAGTTAACAAACAGTCATGACATAAAGTTATTGTCTGTTACAGTTCTTTTCAAACTATTGAACTAAGTCATGTAAATGCTTCTTGTCTCTTAGGTATAATCTTATGAGTCTGGAGAGGAAATGCTCAGATGGCGTAGAGCAGATTATGGGCGTTCTAGAGCAGCGGCTGCACAATGGTGTTTCTCCCACTGACCTTTGGGGAAAAACAGTCTCTTTCTTCACCCCAAAGAAGACCTTGCTCTTCCACAATGGATACTCCAAGTATTCGAGGGAGACACTTCGCTTATTCCCAGACTCAGCAGAGGATGTGGCTCCTTTGTGTATTCAGCAGTGACAAGAAGCAGTGCCATGGAAGAGATGGAAATGCATTTGCCAAATCTTGATCCGCTGAAAGACGTTATGAACTGAACTCACCCTGCGTACTTGAAATGGAGGCGTTATTCTCCTATCTTATTTTTTCCAGCAGCATATTAATGAAGAAAAGTCTTTTATAAAGACGAATTCTAAATCGAAATGAACACTGCCCTGAGGGGATTTTTTTTATCGGTCCAGAAATGGATCTTATGTTGGGATTTGTTGTAATATCAACAATTGTTGGTAATTGCTTTAATGCAATATACAAAGAAAAAAAGATATTCAGAATTCAACATTAAGCATATATGAATGTTGAATGATAAACTTAAAACTAAACTATATTCCTTGATAAAAAGGAAAGTCTTGTATGCCGTTTATGCAAGAGATTATGTTAGTCTTTATTACTTACAAATTTAAAAAAGGCATTTATTGATGATTTAATGAGACAGGTTTATGTGAATCTTTTTTGTTAATAAAAATCCATTTCATGTGTATTAGCCTATTTGTTTATTCAGCTTTACTATATTGTATAGAGTATTATTCACTTATAGTTGTTGTCATGTTTTGTGGATTCAGTAACAAAAGTGACACAACTAGGCTAAAGTACAGGGTTTCTGCCGGTCTTAAATGTCTTAATTTGCCCTTGCACAAATTAAGGCCATTAGAAGGTCTTAAATCAGAGCAGAAAGTCTTACATTTATAAAGTCTTGGCATTAAATGTTGCAGGCATTGCTAAAAATTCATATCTTCCTCAGTATTTTTGTCATGTTTTCCAATACAAATAACTAAATCAATCTTTAAAATCAGGATACATTTACTTGAGATTCAAAGTAATCTTTTGTCATTTTGCTTCTCGAATAAAAGGATCTTGAGTTAAGAATCTTTAGATATTTACACAGGTAAACAAGACTAAATAAATAAATACTAGTATACTGAGGAAGAACATCACTATTTTGCGGTGTGATCAGAAGTTACAAGTAAAAGTTACTTCCATGTTCTAGTGGTTATGAGCTGAGGTATTCAAGTCTTAAACTTTGTGTGTGTGTGTAAAATGAATCTAAAAATAATATAGATCTGCTGGAAGTTGTTTTTCAAAGTGTTGTTATTATGTGTGCTCCTTAGACATTTACATTTAGAGAACATACTGACCTATTGTGTTACTTTCAATTTATTCCTTACATTTTCCTTACTTGGTCTCAAAAATGTATTTAAAAAGTTTTAAATTTACCTTCATAAAATCTGCAGAAATGCAAAGTAGTAGTACACAAGCTGTTCTGCATTGCCATCTTGCGGTCCCCAAGAGTCACTGCAATGACATTCATTTGGGGCTATTAGTTGAATGTTACTTAACAAAAAAAAAAACGCATTGTTATAGACAGCAAGGACATTTAATATATTTCAGAAAACTTCCCCTTAGAATGTCACACATATATGACAGTGTTTTAATTGCCTTGAAATAAATCATTCTAAGCTAAATCCTCAGTTTGATGTTCATTGCGATTTACACTGGGCGAAGCTCAACAGATCACTGTGTTCCACAGTGTGTCGAGCCTAAATTGGTACATCTGAGCGGTGTGTGATGCACTTACATTAAAAAACAGGAGCAGGAGGGGGCGGTTGATTTATTGGCTCCTGCTGAGGGGCAGCGTGTTCCCCTGGAGATGTGAGCAACTAATTCAACTGCTGTTCCACTGGACCCCAAAACCTCCACATTACTACTGTCGTCCACCAATCACTCTCCGGGCTTCTGGCCTGGTTTCTTTCTATGATCAAACCCCCGGGAGATGTACTGGGAATGAACCCCTCCCAGTTTAATCACACTTACAAGAACGGTCGGAACAGACCAGAACAGAACAGCAGCAATGTTCAAAAATATCTTGCATGGCTGCACAGTGACATTATTCGTCAGTGTCTCACGGTGTCACATAAACCTGTGCAGAAAATAAAACATTTTAGAGTGGCAGAACAATGCACTTTCAAATTTCACAGATCAGTACGATATAATTTAGTTGTTGGATGTCTGTCCATATTACACTTTTCGCGTTGCTATAATTAATAGAGCCTGCTAATTACAATTAATTATTAGGCCTGCACTGCTTTCTGTAATACTTGATTGCAATTAGTCTATTGCGGTATTGAACGTTCAAATATTTTTTGTTTTATGGAAGCTAAATTAAATATTTCAAAACACCTGCGCCACTTTCATGTAGCCTATCCTGCATTTCTCCGCGGTCTCGCTCTTTTCATATCAATGCACTTAAAATAGCGCCATCTCGCGACTGAAATCAATTGATATCAATGTCCCTGAATATGCATAGTAGGCTGCTCATTTTAATGCATGGAAGGTAAACATAAAACGAAATCAACAACGAAAAGAACTAAACAGTAAATGAGATAGCTAAACAGAGCTGGATGAGAAAGGAACATTTTGGATTAAAATAGGACTGAATCGCGGATTAATATGATAGGCTATAATAATTTATATTTATATTGTAGTAATATGTATAAATTATACAATTTATATTATATATATATATATTTATATAATTATAATAATTATATAATATAAATAATTTATATTGAAATATGTTCGCTTTTGCCTCTTAGCAGAGGTTTTATATTAATCTAAAATAATAATGATATAATATAAAATATTAATTTAACTCAAATAAATATTTAAAATCCATGTATTGGTAAGTAACCGTTTTACACCCTACTGGGGTTTGCTTTTCCTAAACTAATTGTACTAATTGTAATTGAAGACTGTATGTTCAAATTTTGAATGATAACTGATAAAGGATAGGCTATAGATAGGCTAACTGAACATTATAGTGTAGACACATAGGCCTAAATATTTCATATATAGTTCCTTAATGTATAACACATTTTACAAACAATATTAAACATTAAGACATTTCCCAAAACCTGAACCATTAAAACCCGTCAGACTCACACTCACACCATTGTTTCAGTCAGTATGATGAGATGCGAGCGCTTCTTTTGTTCAGGTGTTTAGGTTAGGCAACGCCCGCGACTCGCAGTCTTCAGTGAGAGCTCGAGACTGCGCTTCACACGCACACGCGCGCTCATTGTGGACTGCAACCAGAAAGAACGGATCACACAACGGAGAGCAGGTGATCACTTTCGCTATTCTTTTCTCTTGAATGTTTGTTATTGTTCTTTAGTCATTATTGAGTTGTTTTGTGAAGCACAGGTGAACAAGTCTGCCATATTAAAACTATTATAGATCAGTAAATGTTAATTCAGGATTGTATAGCTGCACTAAGTAGGCTATGTCATTGTGTTAACGGTGTTACTACAGAAATAGTTGAAACGTTATTGCTCATATAAAGTATTATATGAGATCCATATTACAGTTGCTTCCAAAGTGAATAGTTTCAAGAGTAGGAAAAGTGGAGCCTCTGTATAAGGAAGAACAAGCCCGGATTCCCCAATGAAGTAATCATGTCACTGTTTACACAGACTAATGAGAGAAAGGGGTGAAGCTTTGATATTTTAGGCTCCTCCTGAGCAGCATTGGCGTGCACAGCATGGGATCCTGAAATTAATAAAGATCATATGAACACATGATCAGCTGCATATGCAGATTTGAATAATTAAGTGCATAGGAAACAGAGAGACACTTATTATTTGTTTAATTTTCTGGTAAATTATGCTGTGCTTCAAAGATAAATGTGTTATTGCAGCAACCTTCAAATGATTGCATTTTCTTTTTATGGTAAATTGGTTATGGAAACTAATGTTTGAAAGATACTTTCCTGAAGTTTATCAGTGTTTTAGTGCCTCCTGCAATTTGTAATATTTTCATAAAACTGTGCTGCCATATATGATGATTTTACACCAACATCTGGAAAACCGAATAATTTTCCAGTAAATCTTTCAACATCCTCAGGCTTTATCTATAGCATCCAAATCATAAGCTCTTGGTTAACTCTCCAAGTTTTGCCGTTCATATATGTAAATGCAGCAGCAGTTGGGAAATGTTGGATTTATCACAACTCTAATCTGTCAGTACATGAAAGCTAAATTTGCTTGTTTAATTAGTCACACTCATCTGCTCAGTGTGTATAATCCATTTTCTGAAGATAAAAATCCCTTGGCTTGGATCAGTTCTCTTCATCCTCATCTCTAAGATGCTTAGAAAAATTACAGTTAGAGCGAATGCGCTTACATGTCTGCTTGAATATTATATTGTAACAAGTCAGATAGGGAATATAACACTTTTAAACTCCCCCAGACACCATTGCTTATGCAGAATCTTTGCCCAACATATATTCAGTGCTGTCCAGTGGTGTCAAGATCAAAGACCCAATGTAGAGCCTGGCACAACTCCCAAAGCTCTGCAAATGTTCACAAAAGGAAGAGCAACATAACATCAAATGGTCTGTCTTGCTGCTTTGCTTTGCTTTGGTTTATTTCAAGACATTATTTTTCCTACAAGCTTGTGGTGTGACCAGGTGGTTTTTTGAAGATCTTATGATTGAATAGAGGGAATTTTCTGCCCGTCTACATTTAGCTGTCTCAAAGCCAGTAACTCAATCTAAATTAATTGTTTGTACTGTGCAATGCTTAAAATAAGAACAGATTTTTGGAGACTGGCATTATATTACAGTTTCCTTTTTCACTGCATTTTATCAGGTCATCATCATATTAAGGAATATTAATCTTTATATTAATAAAAAAATCATAATCATATAAAATAATTTATTCCTGTGTTGGCAAAGCTGAGTTCTCAGCAGCCATTACTCTGGTTTCAGTGTCACATGATCCTTCAGAAATCATTTTAAAACGCCGATTTGGTGCTCAAAAAACATTTCTTATTATTAACAGTTTTGACTCTAGTGCTTCTTAATATTTGTTTCTGGATTCTTTTATGAATAGAAAGTTCAAAAGAACAATATTTATTTGAGATAGAAATAAATAACTTTATAAATGTATTTACTGTCACTTCAGTCTAATAATGCATCCTTGTTAAATAAAAGGAGGAATTCATTCCAAATAAATAAACAAATAAATAAATCTTACTCACCCAAAAGTTTTGAATAGTAGTATATAGTGATTCATTATTGTTTAAAGGGGTCATATGTTGCTAAAAATAACATTATTTTGTGTATTTGGTGTAATTAAATGTGTTTATGCGGTTTAAGGTTAAAAAACACATTATTTTCCACATACTGTACATTATTGTTTCTCCTCTATTCCCCGCCTTTCTGAAACGCGTAGATTTTTACAAAGCTTATCGGTCTGAAAAGCGAAGTGTACGCTGATTGGCTAGCGATCCAGTGCGTTGTGATTGGCCGAATACCTCAAGCGTGTGACGGAAATGTTACGTCCCTTACCATATTGTGATGCCTGCGGCAACCACATGTGACGA